ATAATTTTAAAAATGACATCCCAAAATAATAAAAAAATTATATAATTGTGTAAATTGAAGGGATTGTTACTACAATACCATAAAATACTATAAAGTAAATATTATAAATAAAACTATTACCTTTGCCCTTTTCCTTCTATATTGAGTGCTGTAATTTGGATCATATGATCACGGGGCCCATGGACTTTGCATTTGGCCATACCACACATGAGCTGCAATGAGCTTTACCTGAAATCATTTGCTCAGTCACAAATAGACATGTGATCTGACATATATTCTAAAATATATCCCTACCTGCCTTAAAAAATTCATTAGTTTAATTATTTAAATTCTTCTTGGAAAAATATCTAAGCATCCTTTCAAGATGTTCTCTCTGTATGTTGGGTCCTGCCAGTGATGGAATTTGAATCTGGTTCTTGTGTTTGTGATTCACCTGAGTAAATGAATAGGAGTATCTTAATGTTATATTAAGGCATTGATAAACTTACTAGCTTTAACAACTGGAGGAAAATTTACTTCTCTAGATTTTAGTACTGGCCTGAGAGACTAAATAAAAATATATATTCTAAAAATCCTCTGTTTATATTTGTTATTAGTCATGAGAACTGCTAATGTCTCCTTTTTGTTGTTGATAACCATCTTTCAGGATACCACACTGATATATGGGTGTGGGTAGCTGAGTCGATTAATACAGGTTTTTCCAATATGGTTACATGAAATATTAGTGACAAAGATATTCTTTATTAAGGGATTTACTAAAACTTTGCATGCCTGCTACTCTTATTTATACTACAGTCTGGTAAAGGCAATATCTATTGGCACAGAATTTAATATTTAAATGTCTACCTTTTATTGCTTGGTAAGTCCTCTTACTCTGCAGAGACCAGCACTCTTCTGGTTGTTCCTCCATTTGAATAATCACTAAGGGCAGGAAATTGGTTTTGTCTCCAAGATAGCAAGATAATTTGACTATGTTAGTAACACAGGGAAGGTAATTCAAGGTTAGACTTTGTTGCTGCATTTGAGGTTCTGTGGTTGCTTGTCCTCATGATAATGACATGGGCAAATTCCCAGACAGTAAAAGGAATCAAGTTTTGCCTCCAAAGAAACTTGTTTCTTGATAGTTTTCCAGTGCTCTCAAATGCATGTGTCTATCCAGTAAGCAAAAGAAGGCAAAACAAAGAAAACAAAATAAAAACAAGTTGTCTTTCCTCACAACTCTGATTCTTTACATCTTACCTGCATTTCAGTCTTGTCCCATTCCAAGGACATCAGGAACAATTTCAAGAACTCCGAGCAATTAGTAAGCATAAAACAATAATATGATTGAGCAAAAAATATGCTGGTGGCTTTATGTATTCTCAGTCCTCACATCAAACCTGCAAATTCAACATTTTCCCCAAATGCATACATGAGAAAATTATTCCTTAACTACCCATTATATGCCTTTGAGAGCACTGAAAAAAATATTAAGAGACAAGCAATCTCAGAAGGCAAACTTATTTCCTGTCATCCAGGAAATTTAAACATTAAACATTAAAAACAATGTTTAAAACAGGGATATATTTCAAATAACAATGTACGAGGATGAAGTCTGTGGTATAGTCTTTAAGGGGATAAGGTGTACCTTCAAATATTACTTTGTATATTTAATTTTCTATCAAATAAGATATTAAAGGTTGTAATTTAGTAGAAAAGAGAAATGTTTTCTATGTCACTTCTGTCATATTTCAATTTTTTTTAAGATTTTATTTATTTATTTGACAGAGAGAGAGAGAGAGTGCAGCAGCAGAGGGAGAGGGAGAAGCAGACTCCCCGCTGAGCAGGGAGCCCCAATTGGGACTCGATCCTGGGACTCCGGGACTATGACCCCCAGGACCATGACCCGAGCCGAAGGCAGACACTTAACTGACTGAGCCACCCAGGCGCCCTCATATTTGAATTTTTAAAATTTCCTTTTGTTACTCTAGATTGATAAGGTGCTAAGGCTACCCACCATGCTCTATTTATATAACACAAGGGTTTTTGTTCTATATACATAGAATAAGGTGACTTATAACAGAGTTTCCTATACCTCTATGATGATTATGGACCAGTGTTTGAATCTGATATACATTCTTTATACCTGATCGTCATTCAATGGTTACTTAAGAGTGTTTACAAAGCTCTCTAGATCTTGGCTATAGTGGTTTTCTACCGTTGATGCTGAGTGTCCTGTCCACCTTGTATTTGGTCAGTTTTACATCACCATGGTGACCAACTTAGTCTCCTCCAAGGAGCGTTAGCATCTTACGTAGGGCTATTTGGTACAGATTTCTTTTCTCTATCATACCAAAAATGATCAGACTCTCAGAATTCTTTGGTGTCAACAGCTTAAACTAAGTAGTTAGTGTAAGACAAAAACAAACTCAAGAGACTATACTCTCTCGGTGTTTAAGATTATTTAAGCGAGTATTTGTTTTTCCCTGCAGTTTTTGAGTATTGGATGTAAAGATACATTATGGATCAAATTAATACTTTAGGTTTTGTTTTTTATATCCATGTAGAGTATGATTGTCCACAGCAGTTTTAATAAGAAATGTTATTGATGGCTTGCTGGTTTCATACTCTTAACATGACACTGATATGCTTGATTTTCCACTGTTTTGTGGAAAGATGCATTGCAAGTTTCCATTGAGAATTACTTTTGGTCAATTCTTGATGATATCAAAGATTTCTTAATTAACAAATAACAATGATATTAAGAATGGTAAACTCAAGGTGACCCATAATCTCAATGACAGTTATCAGACAAAAAACAAGCTTTGACCATAAAATGGTAGGTCCCAGAGATTTTCTGATATTTTTCAATTAAAAAGAATCATTCACTTCTCATTTAGAAAAAATTGACTTTCATGATAAATGGCATAATATAAAAGAGACCTTGAAGAAAAATCACAATTTATTTATTTTTTTTTCTCCTTTAAATTACAATTTATTTTTTTATTATTCCAACTCATTTGTTTGAAAGGGTAACGCATAAATCAATATGTATGTTTATAACATGCTATTTTTTTCATTATCCATTTAAAATTTATATATTTTATAGTCTTTCTATTTGTATAGTTTTCTCTTTGCTGTCACCATAAGCGATGTGGTTGCCAGTAGCTTAGCACCCATTAGTAACCTAGCAACAAGTCAGCTCTCTAACAAGTAAGAAATAAATGCAAACAAAGTGTTATGGGAAAAAGAGTTCAATTTCAGAATATTAGTGCATGTATACTGTTAAATATCAAGATGAAATCTTCTAATTTGGGGGAAATTGCATTACAATGTAGGTATTGAATTTTCTAGTAAATAATACATTGCCAGTGAAATCTTGTCTCCTTCATTCAGAAAACAAATGAAATCTATTTCAGACTGCAGCACTGTTGACTAGGTAACTCTGAATATATGTGTCTTCCCTGGAAGCCTATTCATTACAGATTAGATGAGAGGAGTGTCTTGGCATGTTTTCACCAAGTGGTAGATGAATTTACTAGATGGAGTTTCAAAAGTAAACCTTCCTGACAGTGAGGTATTGTTGATCTCTTAAACAGTTTTAGAATAAATGTTTTATTTTATTTTCAAAGGGTTGTGCTTAGAGTTCTAAACTTTTGGGGGCATCATTTTCTTGGAAATACTACAAATGAATCCACCTTGTTTTTTCACACATTAAGACTTTGGTATATTTAATATCAGTCTCTTTTGGTGAAATTTAATTTATGTAATTACTGTTTGTTTTCACTGAGAAAATAGCTCTCCTCTTTTTTAGTGGTCAGGTCATCGCGGAAGTATATCAGGTATTGGGGAAAAGCTGTAGCTTCATAGGATCATCATTTGTATGATGAATAGACCCAGGTGGCGAGGGAAATACATACTGGTAAATACCTTCCACTAAATAGCACAGCTTCTTTTCTGTGTGACAGGCAGAATTACTTGGCCTTTCTCAATTTGACAGGCAGTTCACTGCACTTCAAGAAATCTTAGTGCCCCATGGAAGATTGAGGTAAGGGACAGAAGGATGGGATATGAGCTGAACATATGATTGTGCATTTAAAATGAATGCATAGAATTGTAGAACTGGAAAGCATCTGCTTTCTGGTGAAATTTTTTTTTCCCCAAATACCCTGAGTTTTAGGTTACTTTAAAATTCTGACCTTAAATGACTGAATTGTTGCTATAATCACGATTGGGATGTGAGCTCAACTCTGACATCTTTCTCTCACTATCCACACAGGATCTCCCTTCTCGGGGGAAGAGGAGAATAAAAATCATGAGATCCTTAAAGAGAGACCCAAACATACTTAACAAGATAGTCTGATTTCATCTATATATGCGAATTTTGGTCACTTACATTATTTGGATTGAAGTACGTCACCTTAAATAAATGAAAGACTATTCTTTACATGAGAAACACTCATCTACCCTTGAAGACATCTAACTACAATTGAATAGATTAATCACATGAAATTTATACTCAAAATGTCATGACAGAATAATATGGTCTATATTGTTGATGCTACTCATGATGGCTACAGCCCTTGGTTAGTTGTTCAGGAAAGTGACATTTTAGATGTGGTATATGCACGTTAACTACCCCTTCCCGCATAGATGTCTCATTGGGGTTATTGTTGAAAAGGTATCATCCCTTATTTTGGGAAGTTGAGTTCCTAAAGGGCAGGGATCATATCTTATTTGTTATCCAGTATTGAGCATAGTTCCTTACAAACAATAAGCTTGCAACCAATGACTAACCTTTTCTTTTCAGTTAGTGTTTGTAGGTGTGCTAGAAAGAGCCACAACGATCACCAAAATTATATTAAACTACAGAATATATGTTAAAAAGAGATAAAACACTTAAATAATATAGGCCCTTGTAGAGGAAATAAAGTTTAAAGATCCACCAGAACATAACTTAGTTACTGTAAAGTTATTGTTCAATTTTGAGGTTGATCTAAAAGGAACTGTCCTTATTGCAGGTTTGGTTACAAAAGTACGGCTACCTTCCACCAACTGACCCCAGAATGTCGGTGCTGCGCTCCGCGGAGACCATGCAGGCCGCCTTAGCTGCCATGCAGCAGTTCTACGGCATTAACATGACAGGAAAAGTGGACAGAAACACAATTGAGTAAGTAATGGCATCCGCACTCTTCCCTCTTGTGGTCTTTGAGCCAAACTTAGTAGTCTGAAAAACTTTATGTGAACTCCGCCAACCACAAGTGGAGCAATTTGTCTCCTGTCCCTTTTCTTTGGAATTTAACCTGTTTCAACCCTACTCCGCTAGGATGTCCGGTTTGTCAAGTCAAATTTACTCACTTGATTTTAGCGGCACTTTTTCAAAACGGGCGGGAGAAGGAGCAATGAGAGTCAGGGTAAATGTATGGTTGAAGCTATTTTAGGAAGAGCTATGTCAGCGATGTGTTGGAGCTGGCTTGTTCTGCTGGTGCGGACATGTTGGGCACATCTCCTCCCTGTTAAGTGACATGATATCAGTAGCTTCAAATTGGCCAGAGTAGAAATATTGACACTAAGGAAAATGGGAAACAATACAAATCAGGGCTCTTTTTGGGGTGGAAGGGTATTAGAGAGTCAGTTAACAGTTTATTAGCCTCCTATTTGTGGTAATTTTCTACATGAGTTAAATCAAGGAGAGGTTCCTGCAAGTCTCTCTTTTCAATTTTTCATTAGCAAATGGCTTGTTTTGACTCTTTAATAATATTTGTGATTTTATGGATCATCAATCATTTGTTCATTTATTTATTCAACCAGTAACTCATTACTGGGCATTGCATCTATGAAAGAGGCATATAACAGATCAGAAGACAGAGTCTCTTCTTCAGAGGAACTTCAAGTTAACTGCGTAGCTAGACATAATCACAAATTATTTTACCACAGGTACACTGTAAGTTCTGTAACATTATGAAACAGCATTATTGTTTTTGGACAGCAAAGGAGGAAGTGATTAATTCTGTCGGTGCATGGAAGAATCATCTGTGTTTATTGAGTCCTTGATACTCACAAAGTAAATCTACTTCATCATTTAATATGACCGTCATACATCAACCCTCCACAGTAGGGAAGACAAGGATATATTTTTCTCTCTACACTTTCCAATAAAGAAACTAAAAGTCAAAGGCTAAGTGAAGTCCAGAGTAGTTGCAGAATCCAGACCTTTTGATGTTTAGTCAGAGAATTTTCTACTATACCATGTTGTGAACCTCAAGAAATGCCACATTTATTTTTCTTTTTAAACCTTAAATACCTGAAATTACTTGACTCAGGTATATGTAATTTTTACATATTAAACTAACTTAATATATAATTTAAAAATTATATTTTGCCTTCTAATACTTACAGCATGGCATTAGTTTTATGTTCCTATTTCATCAAGACAGTACGAGTACATAATAAAAGGCTTGAATATTAAACGTCAAAGCAGTTTTAAAAAATAAATATAATTGCCTCTCCTAGCATTTTTAAGAGATATGTAAATATTAACTTTGGTATACCATTTGGGAAAATAGAACCAAGAATTAATATAATGCATTTTGCAAGAATGAGAAACTTGTTATTAATATTGGGAATAGGACTTGGATATTTTGAATCTGCTGCCCTCTATTCATTGCAATTCTCTGTTAATAGTGTCCTAAATAAATACAGCTTTAAATTAATTTTAATTACAATTATAAATTAATTTTAAAGATAGCTTATTAAGTTAATAAGCAAACCCAACAAGTCCTACATTTTGTTGTTGCATATAGTACAGAATTCCATTTAAATCATACTTTTAATCCCAACATTTTACAAAGTGCTCTGAACAGCTTTTATGCTCCCTAATGCAGAGCTGTTATCTTCTGATTGACTTTCTTGGACCATATGACACAGTTTTTAAAAATACAATAAATTGAGAGCTTGGAAAACAAATTCCTTTGAATCTGCTTATTACCAGATATTAAAATTCAGAAAGCAGAGTTCTATAGAAGGTGGCATCTGTGTTTCCTCTCCATTTTGAGAGCTCCTGCTGGTCATTGGAAGGACTCAAGATGGATAGGTTTGATTTCCTCAGATAGCTGGAAAAAGGTCTTTGTCAGGAGATGATGGAAGAGGAATGTGTGCAGGATTTATTTAGGCCGCTTATGTGGAAAGGGTCTGAACAGTTTTTAGTTGTTCTCTGGCAGGACAATGTCAAATGCAGAGGTGCAGGAAAAGACCCCGTGTCCTTTTCTGCCACACAGTGGCTCAGATTCCAGACCAGGAGAAATGATGGTGTCAGTGTGTAGGAGTTAAAGTGGCATTTCTGTGAATTATAGCATTGTAGAGAAAAGATCAACTGTATAGGCAACCTTTAATTTAAAACCAACCAGTGTTTTGATCTGTTTTCTTTAACCAAACTTTGTTCTAATTCAGTTTTTTTTCTTTTTTCTTTCCTTTCTTCTTCTTTTTTTTAAATTGGAAATGCATCTTTATCTTTACATACACTATTATTCTTAGATGAGCCCACCAAAACCCGGTTAAACCCTCATCATCGGCCCATCCTAGATTGCCCTGCTTCTTCTGTCCCTAAGGCATCCACGTTGTCACTCAGACTAGAAACCCTGTGGCTTCACCGGCCTCCTGTCTGGTTTTTTCCACTGATGTATCCCCAGTCTTGGGGTGGTGTTGTGCAGGGTACTCAGCTCAAATAGTGTCCTATTTTTGGAAGTATAATCCCCATAATCATGCTACTTAAGCAATTGTCTGTGCTTTTGTAATCTCAAATGAATGTGTCGTAACAATCCATGCTGAAGTTGTACTCTATTATTTTACATAGTCAAATTATAAAGTATGAATTTTTATCTAAACCTTATCACATAAAATATGGGCTACAATTATAGACCTAAAATTACTCCTCAGTATTAAAATAATGTCTTAGGATTCATTTTCAGATGCTATAAACTTTTATCTAATTGTAGGCTCTTGTCAAGATCAGTTGGGTTTTTAAATTAAATAATTATGTCCTCTTTTGTCAGACAGACATTTGATGCATTCAGTCTGTAATTTTTGGGTAATTAAAAGTAATGATGCAGTTGTGGTGATCCCTATATTATGTTGAAGAAATTAACCACTTTCCAGCAACAAATTTAGGTATTACCTTAAATGGCTTATTATATTGTTTTCATATCAGTTAGCACTGGTGTTGGAGAGACAGTAATGAATACTTATCCCCCTACCCTAAAACGAGCTCATTATCATATGTTGCAATGGTTCTTCAAAATTATGGGTTGCTTAGCTAATTTTTATAAGCAAGCTTACTTGAATTCCTCAATAAGTGAAGCAATTTATGTTATGCATGAAAAAGGATTATTTTAGCGTGGAGGGGAAAAGATAGCAAGGCAATAATGAAAATGAGTCTAATGTGTTTTTACAGTATTAATGGTAGGTATTTTAAAATTTTAATTCATCTTTTATGTGTGCACATTATCATGCATTGAAGCATGCTTGATGAGATACCATTTTTAAGGTGATCTTTCTTTTTTATTTCCTTCCATATATGTGTGTATACATATACACACACATACATGTATACACACATGAATATGCAAATATACACATATATTCATACATATGTAGGATGATCTGAGTAATTCTGCTTAATTTACTTAATTTATCTTAATTAAAATTAAGACTGAATGTGTAGCTTTTTTCAAATAATTATTATGAAACCACAGGGGTACTTGAATTCTCCTAATTTGAGAATTGAAATATTTATTTAGCTATATCAAGAACAATAAGCTTTGGGGCTTAATTTTCAATAGGTTTCATGATTTTCAGTCATTTGTCTAATTATCAAGTAAAGACTCTCTTTCAATCTAGGTATAAAAGATAAGTTCATCAGTAATTAAATTTCTTTTTCTTTATTTCTGATTATAGCAATGGGACTGAAACACTGTAACATTATAGGATGGATCAATCCTTATTTTGGTAACTACGGAAGGATGGTTGATAGCTAAATCAGCCTCATTCCCCTTCTGGAAGGTGAAAGGTGAAAGCTTAAATGAGAGCTGACACTAACTGAGCTTTTTCTTCACAGTGCAGATCATGGAGGTTTATTACATCTATTCTCTGTGATTAGGTTTTCAAGTACACTAACTGCAGTTTTAGCTTTGTGAATAACCTGTGTCCATGCAGGTAGTTCATGATTTGATCGAAAAAAGAAACTCTGGACCAGAGTGAGCTGTCAACCTAATGTCAACATTTTGAGCCCTGAGTTAATTCACTTTTAGAAAATCTTCTTCATGACTCTTGCACTTGGCTCTATGAGTACAAGCAAAACCTAAGGATTTTTAAAGTCATAAAAATTAGCATTTTTAAAACTTTGTAAAATGATCTACTATAAATAGTAGATATTACTCTTACCTTCCATTAGAACATGGAAAAGTCTGGAGGATAGAAACCTGTTAATTATGCAGATGAACATTTTCTTACATTACTAATCCATAGATATAATTTGTGAGTTATTTTTTTTTCTTGTGGTAAAGGTAGGCATATGTACCCAGAGCCACTGTGTGGTACCACTCCAACTCCAGGGGACACCATTCTGATTGTACACATTTTATTGAAATGCTGTCTTCCTTCAGCCCCACTACTGGGGCACCAGGTGTGTAGACTCAACCTGAAGGCATCCTTTACAGTCATGCAATGAGAGGCCTGATATGTTTGACTCGAATACCCAACTCTTTAAAAAAAAAGTTACCGAAACCAACAGACACTGTTTCATATATAGTGGCTCTAATTACTGCAAATTTGTTTAGAAGTTTGTGGCTGCTTTATTCACATAAAACAGAGGATTGTGTCTCTGGTGCTATCTGTATTATGAAAACAACAGGCTATCCCTGTTTTAAATAACAAGGGTTGTTAACACATAGGTCAAGGTGATCTGAAACATGTTAATATCAGTATGTTGCTATTGTTGCAGCTTCTACTAGGAGTCCAGCCGCTTCCTGATGTTTGTAAAATAATAATAATTATTATAAATTAATAACCATAGCAGGTGCTATTTGCCAGGCACTGTTCTAAGTGTTTCACATGACTTAACTAATTTAATCCTTACATTAATTCAATAATATTCTCACTTCCACATTGTAGATGAGGAAACGGAGAAATAGAAAGAAACAATAGTCAGACCAACGTCCCAGGGCTGGAGAGTTGGTGGAGGTGGGGTTGGAGCCCTAGCAGTCTGGCTCTAGGATCCCTGCTCCTAACTTTTACAATGTCACTCCTGTCAAGAACACTGATTTCAGATGTTTTTCCTTTCTAAGTTCAGTTAATTTAAGGAAACCATGAATGCTCTGCCCAACTAATCTGAAAATGCCATGGGTTCTAAACAATTAAATCAATACTGAATATCAGTATTGCATTTATGCAAACGGAGGGGGTGTCGTGATTTACACCTTGAAAGTACAAAATGACTTTCTTGTAGCTCCCTCCCACCGCCAATGCCGGTTCCCACGTCTTTGTTTGCTTTGGAATGTCAACTTACAATTCTTAGCAAATGAGTCAGGAATGAAGCACATGTATATGAGCTGCTGTGTATTGACACACAGAAGAAGTACGTTTTAGCAGTGGAACTTTCACAAAAGAATCACTGCTTGAAAATAGCCCGCACACATGCACACACACACATTCTCTTCAACCCATGTTTCTTTCAGGTAATACAGTTGTTACTTGAGGTGAGACAATCAATCAATTCTACTTGTACATGGAGAGTTTTGCACTCTCGTGTACAAGTATATATGGGTTTTATCAAATTCATATAAATGCAACTAATATTTGGTGTATGATAACTAGAAATAAATCCCAGGGTCAGACTCTACCTGAATAACAATATTAACATGCCAACTTTACCTTTAGTATTAGACATTTAATTCATTGATGAGTCCTGTTAAACACTAATCATTATTTTTATCTACCAAGAACTTTAAAAATTGTAGTAGAAAGAACCTGACTCCTTATGAAATTAAAGAATGATTTAAATGTTTCGAGTCACATAAAAGGCCCAAAGGCCAATTTACCTCAGATACCATGTGTCATATTCAGTGGCATGATGTGCTTCTATCATATTTTGGGGATTTTGCATAATTTGATAAATAATTCCTGCTAATATATCTATGCCAGAATATTTGGATACAAATATTGGTGAAGTTAACATAGAGTGTTCTCAACTCGACCAACCCTTATTAAGAGTTTTTTGCATTAAATTACTAATCGATATTAGATTATTCCTGTACTTATGTTTATTTCTTACACTTAAGTCATCTGCTTTATGATTTAGTTTTACATAAAAATGTCTACAGGGTTGTCCATGCAATAAGCATTTGTTCAAGGCACACACCTGCGAAGAGTTACAAAGTCTTCAAGAAACATGGACAGTAAGGGGGATCAGCATGTACAAAAGAGACATGCAGACTCAATTCATTTGCTTCATTTTCTTATTGAAGACTTCACTGGGTATAGGCCCCATTATTCCTGGCTGTCTGCCCTGACTCAGGCCAGTGGAAGACAGAGACACAAATTGGAACACATAGTATAATCCATGCCATGTTGGGATAGTAAACTGTATCTCTATGAGTTGAATAATGAAGGATGTTTAGGATTCTCAGTGTGAAAAAAGAGGAAGTTATGCCAGACAGAGGTCACTGCATACAAAGGCAGAAAGAAGTTTAGTTCTGTAGGAACCTGAGTGGATCTTAGAAAGTAGAGGGGGGTGTCAGGGGATCCTCCTTAAGTAAGCCTGAGTCAGATTCTTTCTATATAAGTATTTTCATGCCCAGAATATATAGAGAACACATCTGTGTTCTGGAAAGATTTGTCTTTAGGAATGAGAAGGACGGCATTAGTGAGAGAGGAGAAATTTTGGAGGCAAAAAAGACTGCATCCTGCTTGATTACATGTGAGGAGAGAGCAGTGGAGAATATTATCTGGGTATCTAACTTAGGCATTAGAAGGATGTTAAGACTTTTGGCTGAAATAAACATCAGAGGAATTGTTACAAATCTGGGTAGGAAATCAAAATTTTTTTACATGTAAATTAGAAATAATGACAGGGTATCTTCACAGAGCTATGACAGCATTTAAGCCATTATATAGTAATTTTTTTTAATCATGCATGTCTTGCCTCTAGACTGTGAACTCAAAAAGGGCTTCTTGCCTTGTTTATCTTTCTAGTCACACTTTTTTGTTATATCTCTTAACATGTTATAAAAGCTGAAAAATATTACAAGATGAATGAATAAGGATTTAATGAGTAAATAAACAAAGAAGTTGGAACATAAGAAAAAACACATATTTAATGGGCAAAAGCCTAAGAAATACACAAAGAATTCAGTAGAGATATCTTTCAGCACAAGAATCTAATACTCATCCATATAAACTCTATCCTTTGGAAGATGCAGTGCTTCAATGGAAAAATTTTTACTAGATCCAACATATGCATGACTTAAAATGGAAATTTATATTAATAAATTTAATTTCCTTTTCAATTGCTACCTTCCTCTTTTAATTTTATTAATTATTAAAATAATTTTAGACAATATGTCCTCATTAGCAATACATTTTATCCTGATAATAGGTAATTCCATTTTGTCAAATTTCATCCCACTATCCATTTCCAAATTATTTCTCTTCCCAGAATGCTAACTTAAATATTTTTCTTAGCAAAATGTAAGTGTAACCACTTCCCACACTTAGTAAATTTATTCATCTTTAATAATTATATATTATTTATTCTCTTAGTGCTTTTAGTGAAATAAATAAGCATAAAAACCTGCCTTAGGAATATTACAGTTTTTGCTGAGAATATAATTAATGAAATACCCATATGTAAAAGCCACTTAAATCATAATAACCTCTCCAGTGCTTAATATTTGCTAGTTAAATCTGTATCTGTATCTTACAGTATGTAATAACAATTAATGATTTTTCATTTAAAAAATACAAAGTGTCCCTATCCACTTATTCATTGAATATCTCTTATATTCCAGGGGTTGTACAAGGTATATAGTCTATATATATATATACATATATATATATATATACACACCTTGTATATAGTATACACATATATAGATCTTAGTATATAGATCCCCTGCCCTTGAGTGTTTACAGTCTAGTGAAATATCTCTCAAATGAAGTGGTTGAGGAATGCCCTTGAAGTGTTAGTTAAAAATAGGAGATCTCCATTCTCAACTCTACAGAATTCAATTCCGTAGGACCATATAGCCTCCTAGGAGTTGGGAGACTTTAATAAAGGGAAAGCGATTTTTCTGAAATAACTCCACGATGCATTATAAATAGGATGGAATTTTTTAAGTTTGATAACCTCAGTGTCTACATTGTCTACGGGCAGAATAAAAAAGAAATTTTTTCAATACTTATGGTAAAAGTGTCATCTTTCTTAAAAAGCAAAAGTCATGATTTCATTGTATGAAGTTATTATTGTTTATAAGAGCTCATTAGCTGATTTATCCATGTAACATGTAAACTATTTCTTTCATTTTCACAAAATGGACATCTTTAGATAGTCATCTCTATAGTCAATTATTTTCCATTTAAAGAGTATAGAAATTTTCAAGCATCTGATGAAATACAGCAAAAATTGATTCTTTTCTCATTTCTACTTTCTGAAGCATATAGCACCATGAAGATTTTGCATTAGCTTTGTAATTGTTAAATTAAATGTGCTAATGAATGGTAAAGCCATTTTATGAGTCACCAAAGAGGCACTACTCAAAATCATGAAAATCTTTCTTCTTAGATAAGAAGCAAGACTACATCGAAAACAGGACATTTGACCAATGAGACTGTAGAAAAGAAGTTCCATGACTGTATTTGTATAAGTATTAAAAATTAATCAAAAAACAGCATGTCATTTTCCTAATATAATTATGTTAAACCTTATTTGTGCGATGCTAACACCTCATATCCAGAAAAAAAAATTAAGCATTGAATTTGATTATTAATTACTGATTTAAAACAAATGGTTCTTACTTATAAATTGGAGTAATGATCAAAGTGAAAAGAAGAAAAAAATGGAGAAAGGCAAATGTTATTTAAATAAGTTACTTCTATATAAGCCAGAAGACAGAATAGAATATACCCTCTCAAATCCTGAAATTTAAGGTCATGTAACAGATTTTAAAAATTGTTGAATGTTAAACCTGGAGGAGACCTTAGTGAAAATTTATTTTTAAAAGTCTCTTTTTATGAATGAGACTAGGAATTAGTGACTTGCCCTAGGTCACAAATCTTGTTAAAAACAGATTCTAGTTAGAAGCGTAAGAGGACCTCACTCTACAGTAAGCTCAAAATGAATTAGAGAAAGAAAAAATATCTAAAAGAGCTGAGTTCGAAACCACCGATTCTTGATCATTCAGGGACAAAATATGCTTTCTACTTAGATTTAAATTGTAAGGAAATTGACAACTTTCTTCTTTATGTTTTCCCATTTTCATAATCACTGTCATAGATTACCTTCTCAATTGATTTCCTTTTGAAATTCATGATTAGGGTTGTTGGTAAATAACTGGAAAATACTGCTTTTTGCAGCTGGATGAAGAAGCCTCGATGTGGTGTACCTGACCAGACAAGAGGTAGCTCCAAATTTAATGTTCGTCGAAAGCGATATGCATTAACAGGACAGAAGTGGCAACACAAACACATCACTTACAGGTATAAGAACTGATGATGAATTGCTGTTTTCTCCATTTTTCACCACTATTTATTTTGACATTTTGTTTGACATCTTATGCACATTGACTACATGGTAACATATAGTTACACAATATATATTAATGTTAACGTAGGGAACTGAGAACTGCCATTTAGAAGAGAATAAATTGCCTATTTGGAGGCCTTTTAAATATTTCTTAAATACTTGGTCTCATTTGTAAACTGTATCTTCAAGCTTCTTGAAAGAATACCAAATCCTGAGGGACTCTGAGATGAGTATTGTAACACGTTACATTCTTTATTTTTTTTTAAGATTTTATTTATTTACTTGAGAGAGTGTGAGAGAGAGCGTGAGAGAGAGAGAGAGCACATGCAGGGGGCAGGGGCAGAGGGAGAAGCAGGCTCCTTGCTGAGCAGGGAGCCCAATGTAGGACCCGAACCCAGGACCCTGAGATCAAACACTTAGCCAAATGAGCCACCCAGGTGCCCCATTACATTCTTTAATTAGGATTCATAATCTAAAAGTAATCAAATAATAAAGTTTATAAATAATTGTCATCTAAACAAAATGTCTTTGGATCTACTATTTATTTTTAGTATCAACTCAAGTCATTTTACTTTCTATCTTATTGGCAACAATGCAGATGGATCATTGTTTCTTATTTTGTCTTCAGTGAAGGATGCCAAAGGGATGCCAGTGTCTTCCAAACTGGAGGGACGTTTGCTGCTATTGGAGATGTTCCTATTTATTCATTAATTCATTGAACAACTGTGTATTGAGTCTCAGTTTGAACAAAAACAGTTCTAGGCACTGGGGATATAGAAATAAATAAAACATGGAGATTCTGTTTGTCCTTTTGGAATTTACAGTTATGTGGTTAAGTTGAAGAATCATATAAACGTGATGACTGTTATGAAAGGGGAGGAACAAGATGCAAGAGAAATGTAAAACAGGGCCATCCAACCCACTCTAGAAAACCAGGGAAAGGCTTCCTGAAGAAATGACCTTTCAGCCAAGACTCACAGAAAGAGAAGCATGTGTTAGACCAAAGGGCAAGGGAAGAGGCAGGGCACGTCAGGGGAAGGGTAAGATGTCAGGAATACATGAATAAAAGACATTTATAATTCTCATTCTTTGTATAAATAACCCTTCACATATGCTTAAGGATAAAATTTAAAACTCAGTATATAGATTTTCTACCAGTATATCTGGTTTGTGCCATTTGAACTTATTTTAGTTATTTTGAGAACACTTTTCCTTTTTTTTTTATAAAGATTTTATTTATTTATTTGACAGAGAGAGACACAGCGAGAGAAGGAACACAAGCAGGGGGAGTGGGAGAGGGAGAAGCATGCTCCCCGCCGAGCAGGGAGCCCCAATGCAGGGCTCCATCCCAGGACCCTGGGAGCATGACCTGAGCCGAAGGCAGACGCTTAATGACTGAGCCACCCAGGCACCCCTTGAGAACACTTTTCAGTGTTGTTTTATATTCTTAAGCTAATCCTCCCAGATAGCATGCTCCTAGATTTTTTATGCAACTCATTTCAGTTACTTCTGTAGATAAGAAAAATCAAAGAGGAAGCAGTCTTAAGCCAAGCCCATGTAGTAAATGTGAAGTGTTGGAAAAATGCCTTAAGAAACAACAACAAAATACCTGCTACCTCTAAGTCTGTTCTACAACATTGCACAGCTACTTATAGTTGTAAGGAAATAAAAGATATAAGGACTTGTAAAGAAAGAACACTATCATTAGTAAGTTTATATCATTTTCTATATAGAAAACACAGAATAAACTCTAGATAATTTTCAGAAATAATAAAAGAATATGGCCAACTTTTTAAAAAAATAATACATTTCATGTTTTACGTTTAGGTAATACAATTTTAGGTTTCAAGAAAAGTTGAGCAGATAAGACAAGTAGTTCCCATATATTACACCCCCCCCCACCACATATACACACTCATAGTTTCTCCTATTAAGATCTTGCATTAGTGTGATCCATTTGTCAAAATTGCTGAGCCACTGTTGCTATATTATTCCTAACTAAAGTCCATAATGACAGTAGGGTTCATAGTTCTCCTAGTCTGTGGCTTGTCTTCTACAGAGCAGAAGTTTTAATTTTAATAAAGTCCAACTTATCTATTATTTTCTTCCTTTATTGTGCTTTTGGTGTTATATCAAAAAAATCATTTCCAAATCTGAGGTCACTTAGTTTTTCTTCTATGTCAACTTATATCACCTGAAAAAAAGTATTTTTTTCCTTCTCAATGTGTTTATCTTTTATTTTCTTTTCTTATTACATAAGGGAGAGCTGGCAGTAAAATGTTGAATAGGAGTGTTGAAGGCAAACATGATTGCCTTTTTCTCAATCTTTAGGTGAAAAGCATCTAGTTCCTCACCATTAAGTATGATGTAGGCTCTAGGCTTCTTTCTAGATGTTTATCAAGTTGAGGAGGCTCACCCTATTCCAAGTTTGCTGAAAGTTTTTATTATAAATAAGTGCTGGATTTTATGAAATGCTTTTTCTGTACCTATTCATTTGATCATATGATCATATGATTTTTCTTCTTTAGCCTTTTAATATGATTGATTACATTAATTGATTTTCAGTTGAACCAGCCTCTCATGCCTAGGGTAAATCCTACTTTGTCATGGTGAATCATTTTTTTTACACATTGTTGGATTTGATTTGCTAATTTTTTGTTGAGGATTTTTACATGTATGTTCATGAGTGATATTGATATGTGGTTTTTCTTTCTTTTAAAGTTTTATCTGGGTTAGGTAGGAGAGTAATGCTAACCTCATGGAACGGGTTAAAAAGTGTTCCCTTTACTTCAGTTTTCTGGAAGAGATTGTAGAAAATTGGTATGATTTCTGACTAAAATGTTTACTAAACCCAATGCAACTATTTGGGACTGGTTCTTTTTTCTTTGACAGTTACTAATTTTTAATTAAATCTATTTAATAGATACAGTCCTGTTCAGATTATCTATTTCTCTTTGTGTAAGTTTTTATAGATTGTGTTTTTTCAAAGGAGTTGGTCCATTAAATCTGTATTAGTCTGCTCATGCTGCCATCACAAAATATCACAGCCTGGGTAACTTAAACAACAGAAATTTAATTTTCCCAGTCCCAGAGGCTAGAAGTCCAGATTAACATGCTGTCAAGGTTGGTTTTGCTGAGATTTCTCCTTCTGGCTTGTAGATGGCCACCTTCTCATTGTGTCCAACTCTTACTTTTCCTCTGTGCATGTGTGGAGAGAAAGATTTCTGCTGGGTTTTTTTTTTTTTTTTCTCTTCTTATAAGAAGTCATACCAAATTAGGACCCCACCCTTATGACTTCATTTAACCTTATTTACTTTCCTATTTCCAAATATAGTTACATTGGGGGCTGGGGCTTCAATTTATTTATGCCAGAGGAAACCTTATAGATCATTGGGGAAAAGGAAGGCCTCTTTTACTTACTAAGTTCTTCTGTAATAATTAGTTATCCATATAGAAAACAATTAAATTAGGTTCTTACCCCATAACATATAAACAGTTAGTAAATATTAATTAGATTAATGTGTGTATTCAACTTTAGAAGTACAAAACACACAGCTCTGCATGTTGATATTTATTGTTTTCGTTTCAGATAGTGTCTTTTTTCTGGCCTGATTTCCAGACTTAACGGTGTACCCTGTTTAGTGTCTCTGCCTACTTAGGTACTGACTACACCATTCATTTAAGAAAGAAAGAAAAAGAAAGAAAGAGAGAAAGAGAGAGAGAAAGAGAGAGAGAAAGAAAGAAAGAAAGAAAGAAAGAAAGAAAGAAAGAAAGAAAGAAAGAAAGAAAGAAAGAAACTGTTAAGAGCCATTATGTTCAGAACTAATCATAATTCCTTTGAAGCTCTGTCCCTATACTGACAATTGTCTCAGCCCAGTTTTGAATACTCAAATAATTAGGTGTCTATCCCTGTAAGCTTCCCGGTTATTGATAAACACATAATGTGGTTAAGAGTCCTATTTTGGAGCAAGAAAGATCTGGATTTGAATCCTGGCTCTGATACTTGCTACCTGTAAGACCAGGATCAAGTTACTTAATCTTCTAAGTCTCATTTTCCCTGTGTGAAAAGTGAGTATTGTAACACTACCTACCTCATAAAGCTTAGGAGGTAATTAAGTCAGGTCATGGTGGGGGGAACCCCCCAGAAACAAACAAAATAGCTCAACACAGTGCTTGAAACATAGTGCTTAGTAAATGCCAACTATCATCTTAACTTGTTTTAATTTATGAGACAATTAACAGAAATTGTTGAGAGTATTCTAACAGAATAATACAAAGTTGAGGGTGAGAGCTAAGGATATTAAATTTTAAAGTTAGTGTATGTAAAGTGTTAAAAACTTGCCCTGTGTAAAATAAGTACTGTATAAGCCTTTGCTGCCACTTTTATTACTATATTTAGAAAAACAAAAACAAAATATTACATTTCAGCTAAAAAAAAAATTCCTCGTTAAAAGGATAGCAGAAATGTACCATTAGAGAATGAAGCCATGAGTCGGAGTGGGGGTGGTCAAATCTAGGTTTTATTTGATGGCAAACTCATTGTGAGCCAATGGTACAGTGTGGCTAAATAAGAACTAAAATGAACAGCTTAGATTGATAGAAAGCAGAGTGTCCAAAGCAGTGATGATGGCAATTTTTTCCTCTTTGCTTTGTTGGCCAGGCTTTACCTGATGTATCCTTTTCTCTTTGGTCTACCACATTTCCAGCAGCTTTTTGGAAAATTAAAATGCGCCTCTAAAAAAGAAATCAAAATGCTAAGAGATCTTACAAACAGTCTGCATGAGAAAGGGCTCAAGATTAGAGCCAAGGATTCTCAATATGATGGAAAAAATATTTAAGGGAGAAATTTTCAGTTATTCTCAAATACTGAAAGGCTTTCAGAAGAACCTAATATTTTGAGCTATTGGAAAATTAAATCATTCATCCTACAAGTCTTCATTGTTGGACGCATATA